CCCCAGGACTTTTCCGCCTCCTGCCCTTTTCAGGCCATTGAAAATAGGTGCTTGGGCCTGGCAGGAGGGCTGGTGAAAAGAAGGGGCACCAGCAAAACTCTTCCCAAGCTCTAAAGCCCAAAGTCAGTAGGGCTGGATTCACACAAGATGCTACACCGAGATTATGGGTGGTCATCACCGGCTGCATCCAGGTCAACAAACCCTCCTGAGGCTTAAGGTGGTGCATCAAGATCAAGAGAAGTCATCGTTCTGCCTTGTCCAACCTCAGCTAGAACTGGGGGGCAGTTCTGGGCACCCATGTTCACAAAGTGGGGCATGAACGGAGGAAGCAACCAAGATAACAAGGGGCCCGGAAGGAAAAACTCACGAGGAACAGCTGGAGTGGAGGGACTGGGTGCTTTTGGCCTAGAGAAGTCTGCAGGGAGACCTGGCAGCTGTCTTCAAGGACCTCAAGGGCTGCCAGGGAGAAAACAGGGCAGAATTGCTCAGAGTTGACCCAGTAGACAGGAGAGGAAACCAGGGATCTAACGTAGAAGGAAGTAGATTTGGTTGGACATCAGGAAGTATTTCCTAAGGGTAACAATGGTTCCACAGCGGAAGAGGCTTCCTTGGGAGATGTGGACCCTCTTTTGCTGGAGGCGTTTCAGCAAGGGCTGGAAGGCCACCTGACAGGGATGATGGATTTGTGGATTCCTGTATTGGGCAGGGGGCTGGACTAGATGATCTCAAAGTTCCCTTTCGACCCCTACCTCCTATGGTTCTGTGAAGCCCAGCACTGATGGGTGGACCAGGCTCCAAAGCTGTCCCGCGCTGTTGGAAGGAGAGAAGTTTTGAAGCGATGGCGTTTTCTGCAACCTCTGCCTTCTAAATGTGTCGGGTTGCACTTCCCATCAGCCCTGGCCAACGGGATGGGAACTGTAGTTCAAGACTGTCTGGAGGGCAGCAGGTTGTGGGAGAGACTAGAGCCTCAAGGCTGATTCCAAATGTGTCCCAAAGGCAGCATCAGAGGGCAGAATGGGCAGCATTTGGCACCCTTCGCATTGTGACTCACAATTTTTTAAAAATGTATTTTTTATCCCGCCTTTATTATTTTTATAAATAACTCAAGGTAGCAAACATAGCTGATGCTCCTATTTTCCCCACAGCAACAACCCTGACTTGAGCTGAGGAAGAGCGACTGGCCCAAAGTCACCCAGCTGACTTTTGTGCCTCAGGCAGGACTAGAACTCGCCGCCTCCTGCTTTCTGGCCTGGTCCCTTCACCACCAGGCCAAACTGGCTCTAAATTTTCCTAAATCACCCAATGCAGCTTTGCGGCTTCAGCACCGGCCACATTCCCCGTCTCCTTACTGGTTTCGGCTCTCTGTACTTGCTTGCCTGTTTGGGAGGTCTGGACATGGCAGCAGACCGGTCAGTAACCTTCAAGGGAGCTCCTTGAGAGGTACGGCTGGCAGGCAGCGTGTGCCTGTTCTTCGTTATCCCTGCTAAAGGCGGTGCAGGGCACAGAAGTCGTGAAAATGCGCCCACCAGGCAGCCTCCCTTGCCTCAGTGTCCTCCAGAGGGGCTGGACAACCATTCCCATAACTCTGAGACAGCAGAGCACGTTTGAAATGTGAAAATCAGCACACTTGAAAGGGGCCGAATGGGAAGGTCTGGTTTAGAGTCATCCCCTTTTCTGCCACAAAGCGGGTACTGGTAGACTGGGGAGGACGCCAGCCATCCCTTAATGGCCCCATGTCTGCATAAGCCCTCCAGACACCTTCCAAGCCCCTTTCTGCACCCGTCCCAAGTCATTTTAAAGCGCCCCCCCATTTCCCCAGCCAAGGACTGCCCTCAGTCGCAGCCACCTTCTCCCACCTCAAAGCTGGTCCAGACTTTGGCGCGTGACTCATCTGGAAGAGGCAGCACATCCATCAAAAGGGACCGTGAAGTGCCCAAGAGATGACAAATGTGCGTTCATCTCTCCTCACCACCCCCAGTCAATCCATCTGCCGCCAGAGTCAAGGGCTGGAGTCATCCTGGAAAACACGCACCGCACCCCCGGCGCTCTGAAAAAGCAAGATTAGGGCAGCCCTCCAAATGTGTTGGATGACACGTCCCATCACGCTGGCTGGGACAGGAGGAGACAGGGGTCTACGCAGGGTGCGGTCAAAAAAATCAAGATGGGGCCACAACAGCGGGATAGAAAGGCCACCCATTTTTTATGGGCAATGCACCACCACGGCTGCCATCTTGACTTTTTTGACGGCGCTCTGCAGAGCTGTAGTCTAACGCGCCTGGAGGGTACCCAATCCAGAGAGCGCTGTCCTCCCTTCCTCCTCCTGCCGTGACCGAACATCTCTCTGCGACCCCCGGCCTCCTTTGAAAACAGGGGTGCAATTGTTTTTCTGAACCAAGATGGGCAAATGGACCAGCATCATTGGGAGCCGGGCAGTATATAAATTTAATTAATAATAATTTAGGAACATGATGCTTGGGAATAAGCTTCACGCATCACATCAAGTCAAAACGCACTTTGATCTCGGCTTAGCGCTACGTGTGAACCCAGTCGCTGTGGCTCCCGCAGAGCCCTGGAGGAACAGCAGCGAGAAGCCAGAATTTCTGGACACGCTTAACTGAGTCACAGATAGGTTGGCGTTTTGTGCAAATACCGTAACCCAGTCAGGGTTAGGGTCTCCTTCAAGTGAAGCTCAACTCCTGGGGTCTACAAGGTATTATTTGCAAGGATACAGAAACAGTTTGCCGTGACTTTCTCCAGTTTACAGCTGGGATCCCCTGGTGGTCTCCCATTCCAGGACTAACAAATTCCGCTCCTGCTTAGCTTGTCCAGAGTCAGCCAAATCGAACAGGTGCCACCATCTGTGGCAACAGCGCTGGGGTTTTATCCCCAAAGATCCAGAATTCTTCAGACTAAACTAACCCTTCCTGATCAGATGCGACGGGAGATGCTGACGGCAGCCCAGAGCCAGTGTCATCGATTTCTTGTATATTTTGTGCTTTTCTGTACAAACTGGCTTTGAAAATAATAATTTCACATGTATATATTATTAGAACACTCTACTTTATTAGCATAAGTATCTTAGTGTCCAGAATAAAACCCCTCATTTGTTTAAATCAGTGTTTCTCAAACTTGGGAACTTTTAAGATGGGTGGACTTCAATTCCCAGAGTTCCCCAGCCAGCATGGCTGG